AACAGTTGTTTGTGACGCCCAGATTTACAAGAATGTTGCCAAACCCATGGGTTTTTCAATGATTCAGGATGCACGCGGAGGGCGATCCTGCACAATTGTGGTATTAGAAAGTCATATGTTTTCATATGTTTTGCTGATATCGCTTCTGAAAAACATTGAAAACACATTGTGTTTCAAAGGATTTCGCCATGATCGCGCGGCTGCCGCGCGCGTGTGCACTCTGTCGTATTTTTTGCAATGGATCATTGACATGGACACATCGTGCAAGAGCAAAATGTTGAGTTTATAATATTTTTTACAAGGGAAAATGCACATCAGAAACGAAGAATGATCAGGATATAGTTTTTTTTGCAATGGATTATTGACATGGACACATCTTGCAATAACAAAATGTTGACTTTATATTTTTTTACAATGGAAAGTACAAAACATAAACGAGGAATGATCAGGATGTAGTTTTTTTTGGAAAGAATGGAGCATGTTGAAAGGCATACTGTTAAGTTTATTATATTTTTTACAATATAAAACCCCGGTTTACATGCCGGTTCGCGACCGGGGTCGGGCACTATGTATTGTAAAAATAGGGTTTTCTGATCGCGTGATCAGGAAATAATATTTTTTGCATGAGAGAAAGGCCGACTTACATAGCGGCCGGGTTTGAAGGGTTTAGGGTTTAATAATTATAGAGATCAGAGATTTAGGGTTTAGGGTTTAGGGTCTAACAGGGCAAGGCCAATAATACCTGCCTGCATAGGCACCCACCTGCGGTGGCTATCGATCCCCCCCGCATCTTCACCCCCACATAAAGATCATCTCTCCTCTCATGTTATACCGTGGCTGTAGCATAGCATAGCATGCCATAGCAAGCCTGGGAGCAAACGCTTAGCAAAGAGGCTGCGGCCGCGCGCGCGCGCGCAGGAGACCCTAACGGGCGGGTCGGGTCGGGTCGGGCGGGCGGACCCTAACGGGCGGGTCGGGTCGGGTCGGGCGGACCCTAACGGGCGGGTCGGGTCGGGAGGGCGGGACATTCAAGTATGGTGCGTGTGCACTTGACACGCGTGAACCCTAGCGGGCGGGTCGGGTCGGGCGGGCGGACCCTAACGGGCGGGTCGGGTCGGGTCGGGCGGACCCTAGCGGGCGGGTCGGATCGGGCGGGCGGGACATTAAATTATGGTGCGTGTGCACTTGACACGCGTGAATCCTGACGGACGGGTCGGGTCGGGTCGGGCGGGCGGACCCTAACGGGCGGGTCGGGTCGGGTCGGGCGGACTAGCATAGCATGGCACAGCATGGCAAAGCATAGGTCCCCCAAGAAAGTGTTGTTTCATAAGGAAAGTTGACCTCGGAAGTGGGTGGTTTACACAGCGGGTCGTAAAGATCCCCATAGCAGGCTCGATCCAGGGGTGCGCCTGGGAGCACGCGTGATCAGGGCGTGGTATTTTTTGCATAGGATTCTGGGTGATTTACATAGCGGGTCGTAAAGATCCCCATAGCAGGCTCGATCCAGGGGCGCGCCTGGGAGCACGCATGATCAGTTTATAGTTTTTTGTTGCATAGGATTGCGGGTGGTTTACAGAGCGGGTCGTAAAGATCACCATCGCAGGCTCGATCCAGGGGCGCGCCTGGGAGCACGCATGATCAGTTTATAGTATTTTTTGCATAGGATTGTGGGTGGTTTACATAGCGGGCCGTACAGATCCCCATTGCAGGCTCGACCTCAGAAGTTTACAAGAAATCAGAACGCATGGGGAGGTAGAGTTTCAGGTTTAATAATCATAATGATTAGAGATTTAGGGTCTAACAGGGCAAGGCCAGGAATACCTACCTGCATAGGCACTCACTTGCGGTGGCTATCAATCCCCCCCGCATCTCCACCCCCACATAAAGATCATCTCTCCTCTCATGTTATACGTCTGGGAGCGCCTGCGCGCGCATGGCAGCACCTGCGAACGCATGGGAGCATCTGGGAGCAAGGGGCGCCTGGAAACAAGAGAGCGCCTGGGAGCGCCTGGGAGCGCCTGGGACCGCCTGGGAACGCCTGGGGTCGTCTGGGAACGCTTGGGGGCGCTTGAGAGCGCATGAGAGCGCATGGGGGGGCGCCTGGGCGCGCCTGAGGGCGCTGGGGAGCGGAGCGCCTGGGAGCGCGTGACGCGCATGGTAGCGCCTGGTAGCGCCTGGGAGCGCATGGCGGCACCTGGGAGCACCTGGGAGCGCCTGGGAGCGCCTGGGAGCGTGAAGGAGTGCCTGGGAGCGCCTCGGCGCGCCTGGGCGCGCTGGGGGGCGCCTGGGAGCGCCTGGAAGCGTCTGGGAGCGCGTGGGCGCGTTTGAGGCGCTTGGGAGCACCTGGGGGCGTCTCGGAGCGCGCCTGGGGGCGCCTGACGCGCATGGGAGCGAACCCTGACGGGGGCGGGACCCTAACTGGCGGGGCCCTACCGGGCGGGTTGGGCGAGACCCTAACGGGCGGGACCCTAACGGGCGGGACCCCAACGGGCGAGACCCTAACGGGCGGGTCGGGCGGGCGGGACCCTAACGGGCGGGCGGGACCCTAACGGGCGGGACCCTGACGGGCGAGTGGTTTACATAGCGGGTCGTAAAGATCCCCATATCAGGCTCGATCTAGGAGTGCGCCTGGGAGGACGCATGATCAGGAAATAATATTTTTTGCATAGGATTGTGGGTGGTTTACACAGCGGGTCGTAAAGATCCCAATAGCAGGCTCGATCCAGGGGTGCGCCTGGGAGCACGCATGATCAGGAAATCGTGTTTTTTGCATAGGATTGTGGGTGGTTTACATCGCGGGTCGTACAGATCCTCGTAGCAGGCTCGATCCAGGGGTGCGCCTGGGAGCACGCATGATCAGTTTATATTGTTTTTGCATAGGATTGTGGGTGGTTTACATAGCGGGCCGTAAAGATCCCCATATGAAGCTCGATTCAGGGAGTTCGGATGCAATAGGGACGCGTGGGGAGGAAGTCTTTAGGGTTTAATAATTATAAGGATTAGAGATTTGTGGTTTAGGCTTTTCGCAGTTTTTGGCCTCCGGAGGCCCACGTCGGGCCCCCAGGTCCGTCAGAACTCGATCTGGGATGGCATGGCCAGGGTGGGCCCTGGGAGGGGTCCAGGGAGTCCAGGGACTTGTTTTGAGCGGATTTGCAAGGGCTGAGTAGGACGCAGCCACATACACATATGCATACATACACATACATACATGTAGATGTATATATGTATATCTGTGTATATGTATGTATGTATGTATGTATGTATGTATGTATGTATGAATGTATGTATGTATGTATATATCTATATATGTATATATATGGCTATACCATTATACGTTATATAATAATATGTCTATGCGTACACACATACGTATACACATATGATAGGGGTGGCTCCCAAGATCTGTGCCTGCATGTTTGTGCAACGCTTGCCTTCGGAATCGTGTTTTGCTTGTTTGCTCTCTCTCTCTCTTGTTCTCTTTCTCTCTGTCTGGTCTGGCAACGAAAAGAAAATAACATCTCGTGAATATGTTCGAAAGTGAATCAACGCTTATACTCGCCACCAAAGGAATCAGTCTGCAAATCCTCAGCAAAGGGAATCAATATGTACATATGGCACACATTGATTTCCATGGTGTGCGGCCCCAGAAACACAATCCGCAGGTCTCGGACACATGTTTTGTTTTGTTTCGCGCATTGGTTGCCTGTGCAGCACAGGGAAAACCAGTCCCCACCTTTCAAGAGCTACGACTTTCATAGAGAAGGCATGGGGTTCCCGTTGACCTTTTAATCAGGAGTTTCGTTTGCTTCCGCCTGTTGTTTTGGTTGTGCAGGCACAGGGAAGCCCATGTTGGTAGCATTCCTTACAGTTATGCCCCGGATAAAAATCAATGGATACCTTGTGCATTTATATGAGCTTATTTGGTTTTGAAATTTGAGAACTGGTTTTCCCTGTGCCTGCACAGTCAAAGTCAATACGGGGGACCAAGACAACAAAATAAGCAAACAAACCTAAGCCAACACAAGCTTTTTTTCAGAGGCCCATCTTTTGTTCTGACAGCAAAAACAATCATTTAGTGAATCCGTTCTGAAGGAGGTCGATGCGTACATCCGTCACAATAGGAATCAGTCAGCAAATCCTCCACAGAGGGAATCAATGTGAACATCTGGCACACATTGATTTTTATGGTGTGCGGCCCCAGAAACAAAACCTGCAGCGTCTTGGACCGATCGCTCGGCGACTCGAGGCCCTCTTGGACCGTCTGAGAGGCCTCTCGGAGCCCTCTCGACCCGTCTTGGGGCCCATTTGGGTCACTCGGTGGCCGTCTTGGGGCCCTCTGGGGCGCTCCAGACCTAGCCCGGCTGGCGCGTCAATCAAGGCAGACGCGCTGTCTATGTATTTGGGTACCCACTGCATTAGTACAGCTTCGTACACACATGGGAATCATTTTACTTCGGATCCTTGGGCTGGCGTTAAGTCAGGCATGTCCTTCTACAGGAGGAACCACGAATAGTTCAAACATAGTCTGGGGACGGTTTTTTCATTATCTTATTTTTGACCATTTGAAGTATTTTTTGTCTAGTTTCCCTTTCCGCCCAAAATCCGCCTGAGGCTGGCGCCAGACCCCTCTCCCCACAAGCCCCTGGCGCGCTCCCTGCGCCCGTGCGCACGGACAACAGGCGGGTGCAGTGCCGCCTCCAAAAGCAGTTGGTCCAAGCCACCCCCAGGGGCGCGCAGACGATCGCATTTCGCACGTCGCGGCCTGGGCTGCGAAGTTTTTTTGTTGTTGTTTGTTTGCTTGCTTGCTTGCTTGTTTGCTTGCTTGCTTGTTTGTTTGTTTGTTTGTTTGTTTGTTGTTTTTTTGAGAAGAAATGGCGGCAGCGCGAGGGTGCGCGCACCGCGGGGCGCGAGCAATGAAGCCGGGTGGCCTGGATCCATCCGCGCGCGGACCTCCGAGAGGCTCTCTGCCCGTGCAATTTTTTTGGGGGGGTCTTCGAGAGGCGCTTCTTCCGTCCGCTCCTCGCCGACAAGCACTTCGTGGTCCGCTGCAAACGCTCGAAGGTGGCGCAGATGCCGGAGGCCAGGCTGTTCAACCAGCTGCTGGGCATAACGCGGTGCCCTCTCCTCCGGCGCCTACCTCCTCCTCCTCCCCGTTCTCCTCCTCCTCCCCGTTCTCCTCCCTGACCCCTCCTCCTCCCCCCCCTCCTCCTCCTCCCTTCCCTTGCTCCTCCTCCCTTCTCCTCCCGCTCTTTTTCCTCGGCATCCTGCTGTGTGCCTCTCCAGCGTACATGTACTTCCATCACCGAATCCAAGTTTTTTCATAGTCGGCAAGGTTTGTGCGAAGCAGAGGTTTTTGGTTTCTAGCCGCCCGAAGAATGAGCCCACATATTGCCATTTTGCCCACTGTCTAGGAGCCGTGGAGCCGTGCCTCCGGATCTTGAGGACCTCTCGAGGAGCGGTGGCTACGGATAGCTGCCTCACCCTGAGGGTGGTGCCGTCTCCAAACCCATCGCTCCTCAGAGTCTTCCTTCTTCCTCCTCCTCCTCCTCCTCTTCCTCCTCCCCTCCTCCTCCTCCTCCTCCTCGTCCTTCTCCTCCTCCTCCTCATCCTCCTCCTCCTTCCCTCCCTCCCTCCCTCCCTCCCTCCCCCCCTCCCTCCCCCTCCTCCTCCTCCTCCCCCCTCCTCCTCCTCCTCCTCCTCCTCCTCCTCCTCCTCCTCCTCCTCCTCCTCTCCTCCTCCTCCTCCTCCTCCTCCTCCTCCTCCTCCCTCCCTCCTCTCCCCTCCCTCCCTCCCTCCCTCCCCTCCCTCCCTCCCTCCCTCCTCCCTCCCTCCCCTCCTCCTCCTCCCTCCTCCCTCCTCCCTCCCCTCCTCCTCCCTCCTCCCTCCTCCTCCCCTCCTCCCTCCTCCCTCCTCCTCCTCCTCCTCCTCCTCCTCTCCCTCCTCCTCCTCCCTCCTCCTCCTCCTCCTCCTCCTCCTCCTCCTCTCCTCCCTCCTCCTCCTCCCTCCTCCTCCTCCCTCCTCCTCCTCCTCCTCCTCTCCTCCTCCTCCTCCTCCTCCTCCTCCTCCTCCTCCTCCTCTCCTCCTCCTCCTCTCCCCTCCTCCCTCCCTCCTCCTCCCTCCTCCTCCTCCCTCCTCCCTCCTCCCTCCTCCTCCTCCTCCTCCCTCCTCCCTCCTCCTCCTCCCTCCTCCCTCCTCCCCTCCTCTGCCCGAGTCCGGGGCCACTGCAGGTTTTTGCCCTCAATTCTGCACTGCTGCTGGCTCTCGTCGCGCCTTCATTCCCCTCTGCTTCCCCCCTTCCCTTCCGAAAAGAAATCCATGGCTCCTCAGAGATCCAGGCGCACAGTGGGGGCGCATGCTAAGAAGCGCCCTGCTTGCCTCCCGGATGCCTTGGGTTTTTCTTGGGTCTCGATGGTCTTGCCGTGGGAGGCGTGACGCCCCTGCGCCCAAGGTCGACGGACGTCCTGGGGCCTCAGGGTTGGGTTTCTCGTGGGAGGCTTCTCGTGGTCGGGCCCCCTCCTGCAGGACCCCGGCGGCTGAGGATGTGGACGCCTCCCGGCGGTGCGCCGGCGGCGCCTCGAGGGCCCTCCCAGGGACGCCCCGCTCCTCGGGAGGGCTGCGCCCGCGGGCGGGGGCCCAGGCCACCGACGTCGCGGGGGCCCAGGCCCGGGACACGTTCCGTCAGGAGGGGAGCAAGCACACACACACGCACAGGCAGAAACAGACGTCGATTCCCAGGAAGGTCTGGGAGGTGGAGAAAAGGGAGGGGAAGACGATGCTTCAGAACAGCTGGAACATGTGGGGAATCCAGGGAGTGTCTATTCATTTCGGAGGCCTTGCGGCTGGTGCCGCCGAGCCTCAAGGGGGGCGACGAAGACGACGACGCCGACCACGACGACGCGCGCGAGCCCTTGTGGGGTCCCTTCTGGGCCCTGCGCATGTTGGCCTCGGGGTGCGCTCCGGGCCCCCCTTCGGGGCCGCGCCCCCAGCGATCCCCTCTCGGGACCGCCCCCCGTCTTGGTCGGAGAGGGGCTTGGGGCACTCGTGCCGCGCCTTGGGGCTGCTCTCCGGGCCCTGGAACCGCCCGGGGCGGATGCGTATCTGTCAGGAGGAAAAGAAACACACAGACACAATTAATCTTCGATTCCCCAGAAAATATAGGAAAATATGGGAAGTGGGGGGGAACACAGAAACCCAGAAAATATGGGAATATTTGTATGTATTTATTTGTGTGTCCTGGGGCCCCTTCAATCTGGGGGCGACCCTCCCCCCGGGACTCACCCCCTGGGACTTCCTACCCCAGGACCCCCCCGGGACCCCCCCCCCCCCGGCGGGGAAAGGATCAAAGGGAAGGGGCTTCCCTTCGACTCAGCTACGGCGTTGCTCAATGTCGCTCTGGCTGGCGCGCTTAATAAGGAGGCGGGCCCATGGAAAGGAGACGGGGGACGACGGAGACGACGACTGATGGAGACGACGAGGAGACGACGGAGACGGAGACGACGACGGAGACGACGACGGAGACAACGGAGACGACACGACGACGACGACGACGGCGACCAACGGAAGAGCGTCTTCCACACGCCGACGGGGTCGGCGGTTCTGTGGGTACCTGGGCGCCGTGATCCAGCAGATCCCCCGAGAGGCCTCGACCGCTTCCCCCGGGGCCCGTTTTTTTCGCCCCGCCGGGTCGTCGTTGGCCGGCCTCCTGGCTGGGGGAACGGCCTTGCAGGGGCCGAAGACACGCCGAGCAGCCCGTCGCCGCGCTTCACTTCTTCTTCCGCGGCGCCCAGGTGGGAGTGGAGCCCGGCGCACGCCGGCCGCGGAGGTGCCGATGACAAGAAGTCTGGCTTCACGTAGGAGTGACCCTCCCAAAACGACGCGAAGATCGGGACAAAATCGGATCGGGATAACTCGAAATAATCTCTGAGAATCGGCGGGTTTGGAGGATGTATTGGGCGCCGCGGCCGCTCCAGAGCGTTCCGGAACGCTCTGAGAGCGCTCCGGAACGCTCTGGAGCGATTTATCCCGATCCTAGCCCTGTTTTACCTCCGCCAGACTGACCGTTGGTGCGGGCACGTTGGGGCCCCCCGGTCGCCGAGCGCGAGGCGGTCGCGGCGGCTTGCGCGCCCAGCGTCCCCCGTGGAGCCGCCTGCGAGAGGAACGTCTTGCCTAGGGTCACTCCTGCGTGCAGCCGAGGACTCTCCCTAACTTGGAGGCCTTGACCCCTGCCTCGGGGATCATTCCCCAATCAGTGCTTGCACTGAAGGGGTCCTAGCGGAGGTTGAAGGATTTGACGAGAGTTTCCCGCCGATTTTGGTCGCACGCTGGGTTCCCGGGTTCCCGGTTCCGGCTTCCCAGGTTCCCGGTTCCCGGGCCGATTTTCGGTGGGCGGCGAGGTTCCCAGGTTCCCGGGTTCCTGGTCGATTTTCTTATCGATCGGTCTCACCATCGATCTCATTACCCGCCTCTCTATCGATCTTACCATCGATCTCACAACCGATCTCACAATCGATCTCGCAAGCGATCTCACTAGAGATCGCACGAGCGATCTCGCGATCGATCTCCCTATGATCGCTCTCATTGAATCGATGTCACTCTCGGTCTCACGATCGACCTCACAATCGTCCTCTATCGATTACACAGTCGATCTCACTATCGATCTCACAATCGATCTCAAGATCCATGTGACTAATCCGTAAGGGCTTCGCCCCCTGCCGCCGGCCCCCTCTTTCGGAGAATGGGCCATGGAAGAGCTAAGTCATGAGGCCTTGGCGCTGTCGTGAACCAGTATCGAAACTTCATGCGAAGCCGATTCGCAATCAGCAAAACCAACTGATCACAAGAGGGGTTACCACACCTGGCGATTGGTAAGACGTGTATGGTTTACGGGCTTGGTTACCACACCTTGCGATTAAAGGGCCGAGGGAGTTCTCGCAGTTTGGGTTACCACGCCTTGCGATGGATGTGCGTGAAGGGTGGCACCGAATTTCAGAAATGTGGCAAATCCCCTGTGTTTTTGGACCCTGACCCCGCGGATCTGCGTGAGGGGTGGCACCGAATTTCAGAAATGTGGCAAATCCCCTGTGTTTTTGGACCCTGACCCCGCGGATCTGCGTGAGGGGTGGCACCGAATTTCAGAAATGTGGCAAATCCCCTGTGTTTTTGGACCCTGACCCCGCGGATCTGCGTGAGGGGTGGCACCGAATTTCAGAAATGTGGCAAATCCCCTGTGTTTTTGGACCCTGACCCCGCGGATCTGCGTGAGGGGTGGCACCGAATTTCAGAAATGTGGCAAATCCCATGTGTTTTTGGACCCTGACCCCGCGGATCTGCGTGAGGGGTGGCACCGAATTTCAGAAATGTGGCAAATCCCATGTGTTTTTGGACCCTGACCCCGCGGATCTGCGTGAGGGGTGGCACCGAATTTCAGAAATGTGGCAAATCCCATGTGTTTTTGGACCCTGACCCCGCGGATCTGCGTGAGGGGTGGCACCGAATTTCAGAAATGTGGCAAATCCCATGTGTTTTTGGACCCTGACCCCGCGGATCTGCGTGAGGGGTGGCACCGAATTTCAGAAATGTGGCAAATCCCTTGTGTTTTTGGACCCTGACCCCGCGGATCTGCGTGAGGGGTGGCACCGAATTTCAGAAATGTGGCAAATCCCCTGTGTTTTTGGACCCTGACCCCGCCGATCTGTGTGAGGGGTGTCGATTTCGAGCCCCCCCAGCAATTCAGACAACGCGCCCAGGAGGTGCTAAATATCCCGTTTGGGCCTCCCCCCCCCTCGCGCGGTCAATCAACTAGTTACAGTAACCAGCAAGAAGCAGAACTGTAACACTGGAAACTACAATCTACAACTGGTACAGGAAACTGCGAATCCCGCGCCTACAGCCTGGTGGCCCCACAAGGGGGCCGGCGGATTTTCAAATCATTCACTGATTGGGGTTTTCTCAAGTGTATTTTTTTCATCCCGAGTTGCTTCTGACGGTCCCGGTATGTAGATGCTCGTTTCTGGGAACTTCCTGAGGTCCGCCTAACCGATCTGTTCGACTCCAGTTCGGCTCTTATTCGACCCCAGCTCGACTCAACTCCGACTCAAGGTCGACTCTAGCTCGACCCAAGCCGACGGACGCTCGACGAGGCATCGACGCACGAGTGGAGCGAGTGGCTCCATGAAAGTCCCCAGGACGAGCATCCACCTCTATGAACCTGTCTCCGGGACGTCGATCATGATGAAGCACCAGCTGCCACCTCGCAGGCCTAGAGGTTGACACCAACACCAATATCGGCGGTGTGCCTCCATCGAGGGGAAGAAGATCCCGATCTCGGTGATGGTGGCAATATTCTGGCTTCCGAGGTGGCCGAACTATTGCCACCAGCACCGAGATCTAGGACCATCTTCCCCCTGTGGAGGCAACCCCCTGTGTTGGTGTTGGTGCCCATTTCCAGGCCTCCGACCACCATCCTGTCTGCCCCCGCCCGGGCCGCGGAGCTCCGCTCCCGCGGGCCTATGGCAGGTACTACGAGAACTTCGAGATCGACGACACCACCGGCAAGCCGCTGACCAGACGGGAGGCGGCGCCCGCCTGCCTCCGCTCTGCCCCGGAGCCTCCTGCCACCTGCAGCCTGTCTCTCTGTCGGCGGAGGGGGAGGAGGACGGGGAGGAAGAGGAGGAAGAGGAGGAGGAAGAGGAGGTGGAGGAGGAGGAGGAGGAGGAGGAGGAGGGGGAGGGAAGCCAATCTGGCTCCGACCATTTTGGCGAGCCCAGGGCTCACGCGCCGCGCCCGCGAACAGTCCCCGCGGCCAGGCCTGCGGCTGGGCAGCTGTGGGCGCGCGCGACACGGCCAGGACGAGCGGCCGTCGGCAGCGTGACGAGCCAGCGTGGCACAAGAGGCAGAGGGAGAAGCGAGGCCAAGCCTGCCTACTCCCTGGAGCGCTCCAGGCGAAGGAACTCCCAGCGTCGCACCACAGCGCGAGGGGCGGCGGCACGTGGCTATGCAGATCGTGTGATAGGCGGAATCCCAACTCCCAGTGGAAGTGCGACTGCGGGAACATGTGGGCGCCGAGGGCGGAAGCCTCCAGACGCTCCGTCAGCAGGAAGAGGGATCGGAAGAAGTCCGCCGACATCCGCGAGGTGATCGCCAAGATCCCCTTGGGGACCCCAGACGAGGCTGTCGCCAACATCTTGGTCTGGGAACTGCTGCCACAAGAGGCGGATAATGTCAAGAAGTGCAACTCCCATACACAGTCCAAGCTCCAGAAGCATCGCCGTCCGTGATGCAGGCAAGGACGGCCCTACTCTGGAGTTGGACATCAGCGTGCTGAAATACATGATGGGCGCGACAAAGGGCTCGGAGAAGCAGCTGCGTGAGATGAAGGCGCAACTCATCAGCACCGAGGAACGGATGGTCAAGATCCGCGCGAAGGTAGAGGAGCTCCTGGACAAGGAGGCCACGCTGCGTTTGCAGGTGGAGAAGTTGCAGCATTCCGTCCAGCAGCTCCGCGCGGCATAGGGGGGACATGGTGATGATGATGATTGGCTCATGGCCCCGCCCACAGAGAATGACCATGGAGTGGCTGCAGCCAGCAGCGCCCAGAGGCCCTGGGCGCAGGAGGCTGCAGAGAGGGCGGCAGCGCAGGCAGCGGCTAAGGCGCAGTCGACCCAGATAGCAGCCGAGGCCATCGCCAAGAGGATGCCGCCGCCCCCCCACCTGCGCTAGTGCAGCGCTCGCTGGAGAAGGCAGCCCCAGCAGTAGCGTGGGCGGCAGCTGCAGCAGGAGCCAATGCAGCAACAACAGCGCCTGAGCGAAGCCGCCCAACTGGCAGAGTGACCTGGAGCCGTGGGTGGCGCTCCACACGGCCACAGACCAGCTCAAGCTCATGATGGACCAGCAGAATGCCATGCAGGAGCATATCATGATGACGCAGAAGGGCCAGAACTTCCACACCCATGCCCTCGCGAGGGTCATGGACATGGTTCAGCCGTCGGCTCAGTACGGCAACTTGCCTGCAGCGCTGGCGCAGGAGGCTGTCAACCCGTTCGTGCAACTGCAGAAGCAGAAGGCCTTCGCAAGCATGGCGATGGTATCAGCAGCAGCACCAACAGCGCCAAGTTTTGGCGTGGCCTCTCAGGGAATTCCGCAATCCCTGGGGCCGAGGGCGGACACGCAGGTGGGGAAAATCGAGGGGAGGGTCGTCCTGGGCCCCTACGGCGGTACGGCGATGGAGATGACCCCTCCGCCCAAACGCACATCAGCGTCTCCCAGCCGAACCAGGGCGGAGGAGTGGAAGGCGGCCACAGCAGACGGCGCCAGGATACGGCAGAGGAGGTGGAGATCCCCGACACCTGACACGCCGAAGGCGGAGGAGGAGGAGGAGGAGGAGGAGGAGGAGGAGGAGGAGGAGGAGGAGGAGGCCCAGGAAATCGGAGCTGCCCAGCCAGCGGTTGAGACACAGGAGGAGGTGCCGCCGGCGGAGCCGCTGCTCCCGGAGGCTGCCCAGTCCGCGAAGCTGGTGGAGCTGATCCCTGGCCCAGCGGCCTCCAGGAAACGCGCGACGGGCGGTGAGCGCCCGAGCCATTGGGTGCTCTGCCGCTGCGAGCACCGCGTCGGCGGCCGAGGCGGAGGCCCGGCGAGCTGGTGGAGGTGCGGCCTTCATTGGCCACCCGGTCGAACCCAAATCTGGGCACATTGGGCGCTGCGTAATGGGGGGATCGTAAACTGGGGGGCGGCGAGTGTGGTCCGAAAAGGTACCCACATGGTACCTGAACGAGCCCCCCCTGGGGCTCTGGAGGGGCCCGCAAGGGCCACGAAAGGGGACCTTTTTCTGACCCCCCCATGTGTGACCCCCCCCCATTAAGCCACGCCCAGGCACAGGCCGCGCTCCGCCCCAGGGCTCCTGACGCTGTCCGCCGGCAGCTGCGGAGTGGGCGGCGCTTCCGCTCCTCCGCCGCCCGCCCCCCCCCAGGGGGGTCCCGAGGCTCGCGCGCGGCCCGGCGGTGGAGCCGGGGCCCCCCTGGGGCCTGCCCTCGCCCTCGAGTGCCGCTGTGCTCCGCGCGGGCGGGGGCCCTGGTCGACGGCAACGTCCACATAGGCCCCAGGGCTTGCGGCCGCTGGTGCTGGAGACCTCTGCATGCTCTCCTTCCTGGGCACCGCTTGCTCGAACGGAAACAGCAAGGCGGAGGGGGGGGGATTCGGCGGCGCCCACCTCGGAACAGTGCCATGTCTTCCTGCTCGTCTTTCTCTTCTTTACCTTTTCCTTCTTCTTCCTCCTTCTGCATCTCTTTGCATAGCCGCCGCACGTGCCCCTGCATTTTCTCGCTGCCACCTCTCTCCTCCCAGGCCTGTTTTTTCGGCAGCGGGCGCCACACGTTTGTTCCCGATCCTCCCCCCTCCTCGTGCTGCTTGTAGACTCCATGCCCCCCTGCTCCACCCCCACCTCGTGGATGGTCCGACGCGAAGGAGGCCAGGGTCTGCAGCCGGCCTCGGCACGTTTTGAGCTACTCATGACCCCGCCCGATGCACGCGAGCGCCGTGCAGGGTGCCTCTGTGTTCCGCTGCATCATCGAGCAGGCCTCGCTCGCTCAGTCGCCTGCTGCACCATGGGGATGAAGGAGAGTGGATTTGATCCGACCCCCCCCCCCCTCCAAATCGACCGGACCGGGCTCCCGGGGGAGGGGTTTGGGGAGGGGGAACATCTCACACGCCGATGAACCCCAAGGGGTCGGCGGACTCCACATGGGGGACGGAAAAAAGAACGGCGTCGATTGCACCGACGTTCGCGCAAACCTCCCGCGTAAGGTCGCTCGTGGGCGCCCTCGTATCCAATGTAGAGTGCCACGCTGGCATTCCGCGTAATGAAGTCGCGATGCTACGTCGCTATGTCATAGTACAGTCGGACCGAGGGATGAGTTCGAGGTCGGTTCGGGGAGGGTGCCCTAATGTTCTTCGTGTTTGTTGGATGCTCTTGTGCATCCTGGGTCGGGTACCTTTGGATATTCTGCGGTTTGGCCAGCGGAGGGTCTCATGTTCTTGAAGGGTGTTCTTCCAACTTAGGCTTGACTGTAAGCCGCGGCGTAGGGTCGCTATGCCGTAGTACGTAAGACTCGTTTGTTCTCGTCGCCCACATGCGTTTCCCCCCCCGCTGCCGCCTTCCCTGCACAGCCCTTCCCAAGTCTCGGCGGCCCTCCCCCTTGTGCCCCCGATGCCCACGCAGAAACCCTGGGGGAAGGGGGGGGGGCGAACCGTTTGGGAACCTTGGGCTCGGGGGGGGGAGTTCTCGTCGGTTTTCTCCTCCTCGCCCTTCCGATCATCCTCGGGGCGTGTTGGCCCAACGTGTGTTTACCCTTCTCACCTTTATAGTGCTCGCCGCACGCAGCAGCCCGTGCTGGGCGCTCCTCAGTCAAACCGCCCGCGCCGTGCTGAGGGGCATCCGGGGGCAAGCACGCGTTGACGCTAACACGTGTTCTGAGACTCATCGGTGCTCTTCCCCGCTCCTCGTCTCTCTTTCCCTCCGCGTCGTCGTTCTGGTATCCTCGTATCATCATCGTCGTGTTATTCGTCGTCGTCGTCGTGTTCGTCGTCGTCGTCGTCGTCGTCGTCGTCGTCGTCGTCCTCGTCCTCGTCCTCGTCGTCGTCTTCGTCCTCATCGTCCTCATCGTTCTCATCGTCCTCATCGTCCTTCTCCCCCCCTTCAGCGTCGTCCTCGTCCTCCTCCTCCTCCTCCTTCTACTCGTCTTCCTCCTCCTTCTCCTCCGCCTCCTCCTCCTACTCCTCCTCCTCCCCCTCCCCAACTGGACGAATGTCGACAGGGGCCCCGCCAAGGCCTGAAGGCCCCACGTGGAGGCCCTTAGAATCTAGATCCCCCTCCTTCTCGTCCTCCTCCGTCTCCTCCTTCTCTTCTGTCCTCCTGAGTTCTGGTCCTCCTCCTCCACTTCCTCGTCGTCGTCGTCGTCCTCGTCCTCGTCCTCGTCCTCCTCCTCTCCTTCCTCGTCCTCGTCCTCGTCCTCCTCGTCCTCGTCCTCGTCCTCCTCGTCCTCGTCCTCGTCCTCCTCGTCCTCGTCCTCCTCCTCCTCCTCCTCCTCCTCCTCCTCCTCCTCTTCCTCCTCCTCTTCCTCTTCCGCCCCCCTGGAGGTCACGGACCTGCACTACGAGCGCCTGCAGCTGCTCCAGAGGGTCTGCTTCCAGGACGCCGCCGCTTCCCTCGCCGCCGTCTTCGTCGCCGTCGCTCGTCGCTCGTCGTCGTCGTCGTCGTCGTCGTCGTCGTCGTCGTCGTCGTCGTCATAGTCGTCGTCATAGTCGTCGTCGTCGTCGTCGTCGTCGTCGTCGTCGTCGTCGTCGTCGTCGTCGTCCGCCGTCGCCGTCGCTCCGCCCTTGGTGCCCTTTTGTGTCTGGGCATGCGGCGACGCCCTCGATTCGCTCCGCCGACGCCGCCCGCCGATCTAGCGCCGACCAGCCGCCGAACGACGACCCCGCCGAACGATGCCGCTGACGACGACGCCGACGCCGATCGACGCCGCCGACGACGATGTCGACGCCGTCGGCGTCGCCGCCGTTGCTCGCCGCCGCCGCCGACTACGCTTGACGCCGACGACGCCGACGCTCGACGCTCGACGCTCGACGCCGACACCGACGCAGACGCCAACGCCGACTCCGATGCCGACGCCGCCGCCGCCGACTCACGCAGACGCCGGTGCCGCCGCCGCCAGGGTCGACCCGAACGGCCGAGGCGGGGCGCCGCGCCGAACGGCGAGCAGCGGGGCGAAAGCCGCCGATGACGACGAACGACGGAAGACGGACGACGAACGGCGACGGCGGCGACAACGAAGACGACGGCGGCGGCGGCGGCGGCGGCGGCGGCGGCGGCGGCGGCGACGACGACGACGACGACGACGACGACGAACGACGAACGACGACGACGGGCCTCAATCGGGTCGAGGTGTGCTGCCGCGGTCGGCGCTCTCGGGCGGACGCCGCCGATCTCGGCCCGGGCACTCCGGGGCCCCGAGGGGGGGGGCTCCCGGAGGGCCCGCGCGGCGCCCCGCGCTCCCCCGCAGGCCTAGGGTTTGGCACCAACACCAGTATCGGCGGTGTGCCTCCACCGAGGGCGGGAGATCCCGACCTCGGTGGCGGTGGTAATCTTCTGGCTTCCAAGGTGGCCGACATATTACCACCAACACCGAAATCTAGGATCATCTTCCCCCTGTGGAGGCAACCCCCTGTGTTGGTGTTGGTGCCCAGTACAGGCTATGGCGTCCCAGTGCCCGCCGCAGTCCCAGGGCCGGGGAGGTGACCAGCCTGAAGCGCGTCTCGGGGGCGGCCAAGAGGGGGGTGATGACTTGGGGGGGTGGATATCATGGCGGGAGCCACGATATCTCCCCAGATTTCATAGCGCCTCTTCTTGTTTCAATACGTCCCTAGCCCCCCATTGGGCCGCGCACATGCCGCCGGCCATGATTTGCGCCCCCCCACCCCTGCCCTGTTGGACGCCCCCCCTTTGGCCGACCCTGAGCACTGAGCATGTCTCTATCCCTGTGTTTGGTATCACCTTGCCTCGGTGCCGATCTTGAGGGTTCCCTCAGTCGCGGGGGGCACGTCCCCAAGATGGTCATCGCCTTGGGGTTGCCGATCTTACATAGGCAGTTCTGAGGTCGAGGCTGGTCAGGAGGGGGAGCCTGGCCAGGGGTGGGGAGAAGGGGCTGGAGAGGAGGAGCGGGGCTGGTACGGTCTGGAGCTTTTGGATAGCGTGTCGCTCTGCATGTTCTGGCGCACTACGCTTTGGCGCGGCACGCCATCCGCGCGTCGGTCCCAAGGCTAATCCGGCTCGGTGGCCCCTAAGCGTTCTTACGCGAAGATCTCCCAGGAGTTGTTTCTTAATTCAGCGAGTTTATCAGCCGCCTGCCAACATTCGGGGAAACGTAAGACTCAAGTATGCTGGAAGTCGGGTTTGCCGACGTTTTTTTACGAGCGCGTCCTGGATTTTGACGGTCCAGTTTTCTTGGGATGTCTGCAGCCAGAGCTCGCGTCACATTTCTGATTGGGTCTCGTTATTTTTACGATGGCCCCGTCAGGCCAACCCGAGTCCCCCCCGTACCCGAGTCTTACGTGTCCCGAAACATATACGGGTCCGTGTCGATCCGATCGATCTGATTGGGTATCTTATTCGGCCGACTCGGTCTGGTTCGATTTCGATGTTCTGGAGATCCGATGCGGCCCGATGCCTGAACGGAGCATTTGTTTGATGCGACCGATCCGATTCGTTTTCGACTCGGCGCCGATGCGGCCTGACCCGGCGCACGTTCCGATCCGAGCCGATCCGATCTTCTGATTCGATGCTGACCGACCTTGCCCTCCTCATTGCGCGTGCATGGCAAATTGGTGCCCTGGGTCTCGGCGCTCCTCTTAGAGGCAGCTCCCTGCCCCTCCAAGGATTTCCCAGACGCGGAGGCGATGCGCCAGCTCTCCATGGCAAACATCTCGGCGCTGGACACGCGGGAGGCTCCAGGGGAGGAAGCTCGGGAGGTGGAGGAGGAGGAGGAGGAGGAGAAATCTGTACTGTTGGACCCACTGATGCTTGTTTCTCAACCCGGGCCTGGCCAGCCTCAGCCGTCTCGGTCGTTGCTGTTATCTATTTGGTCACCCGACCGAGGAACACCACACGCTCCGATGTGCTGATGATTGCCAGCATGCTGCGACGCGGTAATGGTGACGGTGATGATGGTGGGGATGGAGCCGCTCACGATGACGATGCCGATGGTGATCAAAGATGTCGACAATAATGAGGACATGGATCTGATGATTTCCTAGCGGCCTCCAGCCAATCCCGCCACCGACAGGCCTGCTGGAGTCCTCGCTGGGGCTTTCAGGGGGATTCTTGGGGCCTCTCCAGGACATCCTCGGGGCCTCTTTGGTGACCTCTGAGGGGCGTCTCCAGGGTGTCTCGGGGGCCTGCTAGCTGTCAACGGGGCCATCTGGGACGGAGGACTATAACTGTCAGTTCGAGATCCCCCTCTTGGGCTCCTTTTGGGGGCCTCTTGGGGGCCTTCTGGGCCCTTTTTGAGGGCCTCGGGGGCGCTACTGGGCGGGTCTTGGGGGCCTCTTGGGCCGTCTTCGACGCCCTGAAGGCCACAGGGGTGAGCATGCGTACATCATGCCAGCACTTGTTCCGGTGATTTCGGCCCCTTTCTTTGGCCCCCAGGGCCTCAAGACGGCCGGGGGGCCCCCCAAGAGAGTCCCAGGACGGTCCCCCGTGGCTACCGAAGGTCCCTCAGCCTTTTCGAGCATTTCCTGGAAGGCTCATAGTCGACTAGACGTAAGAGTGACCTTTCGCTGGAGTGACCTTTGGTGCGGGCCAAGTGGGGTGCCCCAATTGCCGAATGCGATGCGATAGCAGCGGCTTGCGCGCCCATGTTTGGCCCCCCCGCGTCCCCCGTTGAGCTGCGCACCACAGGTCACTCTTGCCCAGGGTCACTCTTACGTGTAGCCGATGTAGGTGTCGTCGGGGTCGGTGTGGGCGTGTGTGGCTTCCCGGAGGGCCATGGGGCAGGCGTCAGAAGCGCCTTTGGGGCACACGGGATTCTGGTAAACTGTCAGTCCTAAATCCTTTTCACACTGACACATGTATGAGCCGCCGCGGGGCACTCCACTGTGTGATGTGTTGATAATGGTTCTGATCATGAAGATAACGATGATTAGCATGACGATGACGGAGATGACGATCATGACGAAGACGAAGATGCTGCTGGCGACGACGAGGATGATGCTTATTATTATGATGATGCTGCTGATGATGATGCTGGTGCTGCTGATGATGATGCTGATGATGATGATGATGATGGTGATGATGTTAATGATGATGCTGCTGCTGATGATGATGATGCTCACGACTACGATGATTATGAGGATGATACGGGTGATGATGATAATCCTGTTGCTGATGATGCTGATGATGATGTTTATGATGATGATGATGTTGATTCTGATGCTGATGCTGATGATGATGATGCTGTTGATGCTGATGATGGTGCTGATGGTGGTGTTGATGATGATTATGGTAAAGAAGATTACAATGACGATTACAAAGATGACGGTCATGACGAAGATGAGGAAATTGCTGACGACGAGGATGATTCTGAGTAGGATGGTTATGGCGATGATTACGATGATTATGACCTTGGCGACTATGACGAACCTGATGATGACGATGACCGAGGCGATGGCGACAACGACGACGATGAGGAGGGAGAGGATCGACGACAATGTGGATGTTGGCGATGCGACGACGATTAAGATGCATGATTGTGATGATGAGGATGATGCTCGCGATGCTGGCAACGATGACAGTGATGGTGGTGGCGGTGAAGAAGGATGCTGCTGATGATGATGATGCTGACGACAATGATATTGATGATGATGATGATGATGATGATGATGATGATGTTGCTGATGATGGTGATGATGAAGATACGGATGAAGCAGCAGATGATGATGATGATGATGATGATGATGCTGATGATGATGATGCTGATGGTCATCATGATGATGCTGATGGTCATGATGATGATGATGATGATGATGATGATGATGAGGCTGCTGATCATGATGATGCGGCTGCTGAAGCTGATGGTGATGTCGATGTTGCTGCTGCAGCTGATGCTGCTGCTGCTGATGATGATGCTGATGATGATGTTGATGATGATGATGATGATGATGATGATGATGATGATGGTGGTGGTGGTGATGATGATTATGATATTGTTGTTTGTGATCATGATTTTTATGACGGTGGTTGTTGCTATGAGGGTGGTGCTCGTAAGTGTGCTGATTGTTTCGGTGGTGGTGGTTGTGGTGATGCTGTTGGTCATGCTGCTGCTGATGATGACGATGATGGTGATGATAATGATGATGACCCAGAAGATGATGCCGACGACCACGACGACCACGAGGCTGGCCGACGCCCGACAGACGTTCGAGATACGAGTTGCAAACGAGCAACGACGAACGAA